GCGCGGGATGAACGCGAGAGCGGCCGCATTTTGCCCATCAAGCAGGCACTTGTCAACGTGATTGTTCGCGCGCAGCGCAGTCGTTCCACAGCGCGCACACATCGCAAGACTGAGATCGACATCGTTGGCCAACCCAGTGCCCGCTGGTACAGATGCCGCGATGATGCCGCTCTTCACGCGCACCTATTTCAACAAAAAGCACGGCCGAAAACTTGCGAGCAACTTGTGTCTTCAAATGTTTGCCTTGAGAATTGCTACGGGCACAGTGGGTGGCAAATTCGTCGATGACTCGTTCGGGTGGGCGACGTTCCAGAACAAGTTGGCTGAATATTTCTCCAGACCTTGACACCAGCTGCGCGGATTGACGGCGATTCCTCTACAAAACGGGACTTTCTCCTGAGGCAGAAGTGCGAACATGGCGCAACAACCCCACACGGATGATGGTGGCAACTCCTTTCATGCGCCCGGCGCGGGCCCAATATGGAGAGAGCTTCCTGATGCGTGGGCGCAGTGCTTGGCCTTTGCGTGGTGCGGATTGGAGTTCATTGGCGTTGCTTAGCACTGCTTGGCGCTGCTTTGCAATGCCGGGGCGCCAGAGGAACAAGACTGGTGCACCCAAACACGGAGCACGACTTGGGGAACCTGGGGCACCAGTTGATCAAGACTGGAGAACACGAGGAATCCAAGCAGGGAACAACACCAGGGAACCCGAGGAAAAAGATCGGGAGCCCGAGAAATGCTGGGAAATGCTGGGGCAGTGCGCGCACGTGCTCGCAAATCAGAATCGGAGGAGGCGGGGTGGGGGGCGGGGGCGGCGGGCCTGATGCCGAGCTCGCTGCCGTCGAAGGGCGGCGACGGTTGCGGGCGCGCGTGCCACGCGAGCGTCGTCTCGCCTGGTCGCCCTCGCACCCGCTCGCGCCCGAAGGAACGGAAAGAAAAAAAGACCGGGGAACCCAAGGCCCTTGCAGGGAGGCAACACTGGGCGCCCCCCGAAGAAAGCCCTTGTCACAGCACAGGGCCAAGGGACCTCGAGAGGAACGCTGGGGCCGATCGCGCCCGGCACCCACTGGCTCTTTTCAAAAACACGGAAGGATCCCCCAGGCAAGCCTAAGAGGAGAAAACAAGACTCTCGCCGGAATCTCGCTCAGCATTCTCATTGTATCTTTTCGTGTCCCTTCAAACTCGCTTAAACTGGATGCAGCACAGTTCCTTCTCGAAGCGGGGCTCGCGCCTAAATGACAAGCGGATCGGGTGCTCGTCGTTCAAAAGAGCGCTTCTGGTAATGCAGAGGATAGCTTGTAGGTTCGTGCGCGGATGACTTGTGACGGGAGTGTGCTGGGTTCACTCTGGTCCTCCTTCTCCTCCTCGTCCTTCTCCTCCTCCTCCTCCTCCTCCTCCATTTCCTCCCCCTCCTCCTCCTCTCCCCTCTCCCCCTCCCTTTTTCTCACGCCAACCCTCTCCTTCTCCACCCGACATCCTCCTCCACCTCCTCCGCCTCCTCCTTCCTCCCCCCCCGTTCCTCATTTCATCCCCCCGCATAGCCACTTTGACTCAGGACGTCGCCTGCCCATGGCGGAGCAGGGATGCCGCTGATCCTTGAAAGCAGCTCAAGTTATTGCACTGAGCTGCTGGTGGGGCACTTGTGAGCTCCTGCGGAAGCAGCCAAGCTGTGACAGGGGCGATCTAAGGGTGATCAGGCCGTGGTGCAAGGCCCGACCCCCCCGCTGTGGGGCTGCCAGGCCCGTGGGCTCACATCAAACTGGGCGGGCAGGATGTTTTTTTTGTGTATTTTTCGCGATCGCCCCGGTCGCCCCCCCCAACTAACGTCACGATTCGTGCTGACGTCCGAATTGTCTTTCCGTCATTTCAAGACGTTCCCAAACGGCATCGGCGCGCAACGTGACGTTACCGCACCCCACCTGGCAACGCCCGTAATCGCCTGGGAGAAACAAAACGCTTTCATGTTTGAAGGGGCCCAGGGACACACACACACACACACACACACACTCACGCACACGCACACGCACACGCACACGCACAAGAAATACACACAAATCCCAGGATCCCCCTTATGTTTTTCCCCAATAAGAGCTTGCCTCTGTAGGGGTCCTAGCAGATTTATATGGTTAGGTTAGGTTTGTCGCCGATTTTCGCTGCACGCCCGGGTGCCCGGGTGCCCGGGGGTGCCCAGGGGTGCCCCGGGGTGCCCTATAGCCCATAGCCCTATGGCCCTATATCCCTATAGCCCAATAGCCCTTTAGCCCTATAGCCCTATAGCTCTATAGCCCTATAGCTCAATAGCCCTATAGCCCCCTAGCCCTATAGCCCTGATTGGGTTTTTCTCCGGTATCATAATATTTCTGGGATTTTCGTCTTCCCCCCCGCTTCCCATATTTTCGCATCTTTTCCTGGGAATCGACGATTAATTGTGTCTGTATTTGTTTGTTCCCTCCTGAATGTTGCGGCGCCGATGCGGTGCCAAGGCCCTGGCGCGCTTTCTGCAACGGGAGAAGAGTTGCGGTGCGGACCTTCCGCCTTCTACTTGGCGGCAGTGTGCAAGGTGACGGGCCCCGAGGCGGCTTACGTTCGCAGGATGCGCGGCCGGAGCAGCAGCTGAAGGCCCGACTCGACGCGCTCATGGCACCTGGCGGTAAGATCGACGAGTCCGATTCCCCAACGACTGCGACTGTCCAAGGGGGCGGAAGTGGAGGCCATGAGCAAGCTGGTGAATAGCCTCTTCAGGCCCGAGCCGCAGTGCTTGAAGCGGGCAGCAAGGTGTCGAAACCCGAGAGCACGGCGGAGGCGCGAGGGCTTCTCGACAGGAAACTCAAGGTGGCTCGCCACCATATCGCGAGGAAGACATCGAGCTTCCGCCACGGCCAAGTGCGACAAACCTGGCGAGGAGCAGGCGCAAGACACGCTAATCAACGAGGGCCAGGCTCAGCACCAAGCGATCTTGGCCGAGCACGAGTGCGCCAAGAAGGAGGTGTAACTTTGCGGCAGCGACTGGTTTAATCGCTACAAGGCCAGCCTGTTCAACGTGATTGCCAGCGATGGCAACCCCAGGCTGGTCCTACCTGCGGATATGCTGGATGGCAAGGGAGACGTTAAAACACTTTCGGAGTAGGCGGCCTTTCAGTAGTTCGCAGAGCTCGTCAAGCTGGCCAATGGCCAATGTCGGCAAGAACACGCCAACGAGTGCCATTGCTGCACTCGGGCGGTCCAAAACGTCTGTACTTTTGCAATGGTGGAATGGAGTGGCTTCTGAATTTTCGTTGCTGCTGCTGCTGCTGAGATCGATCGGTTCGGACCGTTCGGACCTGGCATCGACGAAAGTGCCTCAACCAGGCAACCCCTGAGGGTCACACATCCAGGAAATCCGAATCAGAAGCCTTTGGAGCTTCCTTCGGCAAACCGAGCGCGACTCTTCCTCTGTGCCCTGACCTGGAGATTCTTCCATTCGGCGCAGGCCGTCCACCCAGGCCCGCCGAGGCCAACCCCGCGGCCGACGTGGCCCCGCCTGCTCTTGAGCAGTTTGAGATTGAAAAAACTGGGGCGCTCCCAGGAAACTGCTTGAACGCACCGCGGCGTTCGCGCTGGTCTGGAAGAAGACAAAACGCCATGAACATAACTTGGCGCTCCGCGCGGATTTTTTGGATCTGCGCTGGGCCCCCCTCCCAGGCGCGCGGAGCGCGCCAGGGGCGGTGCCAGAGGCGCCGCCAGGGGGGCCCAACGAAGACCCAAGAAATCCGCGCGGGGCGCTAAACGTTTATGTTCATGGCGACTTTTCTTCTTCGATGAACGCACTGCGCCGTGAGCGTTAAGTCGGGCCTGTCCCCCTACAAGGGGATTTTCAACGAAAAAAACGCCCCAACAATAATCAAACAATAATCCAAAAATAGTCTGGGGACAATGTTTTGAGTATATCTTAACCCTTTTTTGGTTATTCTTGGTTGCTTCTTTTTTATTCAAAAATGAAAGCGATCGTCGAAAATCCCCCAGTAGAGGGACACGCCCGACTTGACGTTGGCGCTGTTCGCTCAGGAGATCGCTGTTGGCGCGGCCAGGTCTTCGTGCGGGAGCAGGGTCTGCCCCTGCGGCCCCGCGCGCAGGCGGCCAGCGCTCAGCGGGCGCGGTGGTGCTTCTGCGCGGGTGACGATGGGGCCACGGTGGCCGGGCTGCTCGCTCGGAAGAGTCGTGGTGCCGCGCGGGCTGGTGTGTTGCGCTGATGCCTGTTCCCAAGCCGGTCTCGGATCTGGGCTGGGTGAGCGTAATTACTTGCTCGCAAAGGATGGGCTCGGCAGGCGGAGCCCCACTACAATCATGCAACAGGCGGGGCAGATCCAAGAAGGGCCTCATGTGCAGATGTCGGTGTGCGGGGGGGTGCCTGGGTAATGTCGTCGGCGGCGGTCGAAATTTCGGGCCTACATTGGAAATCGAATGCAATCATATTGCAGCCGGGTGCTGAGGCGCACCGGGAATCAGGCCAACGCGGGCAATGATTACTTTGCCGACGAGACCGCCTCTGGCAAATTTTCGCGGGGAGCTGGCCGAAGCGACCACAAAGGGCTGCGCAGATGTTTTCAAAACCACTTGCTGTTCCTGTCCCCCTGCAAGGGGTGGACGATTTTTTTTACATACTCCAAACATGCCTAACAATATTTAAAACATCGTCCCCAGACAGACCCGTCGGAGGCTTCCCGCCCAACCCATCGTTGGGCCCCCAAACGACTGGAGTTGGGCGCGGCGTGGGCCAGCGTTGAGGAGGCCAACCATGTATCATGTATCGGATGATATTCCAGGCGGTGCCCGAAGCGCCGCCACCCAGCATGCTGCGTCGTCACGGTGACGCAGCCTGTTGCAGGCAGACAGATGCCTGCCACACCACTCGAGAACCCGCGACACGGTAGACGAGGAATAGGATGGGGACGACTAAGAAGAGGAGGGATGTAGCACTTCCTCCTCCCTCCTCCCTCCTCCCACGAGCGCGCCCTGCCCGCCTTCCCCGTGCCGCCGGTGGCGATCTGCAGCAGCCAGGAGGCGTGCTCGTGGAGCGGAGACGACTTGAGCAGCCCGACGACCGGCGTGGGGCCACTGACGAACCGGAGATCCACGCCGTCGTCGTCGTACTGCTCCTCGTGCACCTGCTGGCCTCCCGCACGCTCGCCGCATCTCTGGCCGCCCGCGCGCTCGCCGTGCCCCGGGCGCCCCGCGCGCTCGTCGGGCCGCTGGCCCCCCGGGAGCTCGTGGTGCCTCTGGGCGTCCAGGCTCTCTCGGGCGGAGCGCGTGAGGAGGCCGAACGCCTCCTCGAGGTGGTAGTACCGCATATCCGTCGCCGTGCCCCCTCCCGGGGGCCGTGGGCGACCCGAGGAGGAGGAGGAGGAGGAGGAGGAGGAGGAGGAGGAGGAGGAGGAGGGAGGGGAGGAGGAGGAGGAGGAGGAGGAGGAGGAGGAGGAGGAGGAGGAGGAGGAGGAGGCTTCTCTCTCTCTCTCTCTCTTTCCGGTGCCGGAGGCCTCTCTCCAGGGATGCTTCTCTCCAGCAGCTCGCCCCGCGGGGGCCCACCTCCAGGCTGCAGGGCATCCCCCCCAAATGGGTCCGGGACGAACGCCACCCCCCCCCCCCCCAAACAAATAACCATCCCGCAACAAAAACAGCCCCTCCCTCTCCAAAAAAATGGTCGGGGCCCCTGGGGTCCGCGGAGGAGAGCACCGATCGGCCGAGAATGTCTGGGTCGGCACGCCAGGGCGGGCTGGAGCCCCCTGCTGGCCGTCTCTGGCAGGGCGTCCGCAGCGTTCCACGGGGGCGACCCCCGTCATACAGGAGGGGCTCGACCACAAGAAACCTCAAGAAACCCAACCCTGAGACCCAAGGACGTCCATTGGTTTTGTTGCGTGGGGACGTCGCGCTTTCCATCGCAGAAGCCTCGAAATCCACGAAACCCAGGGCACCCTGGAGGCAAGCAGGGTGTCTCTTGGCATGGGTCTCCACTGTAGCAACCAGGGTGCAGTCAAGCTCCTGCAAGGAGGAAAGCCAAGCAGGGAAGGAAGCTCCTGCTTGGCACCATGAGAGCCTGGGTGCACGAAGAGGGCTAATGAGAGGAACGGCCACGGAATGGCCCAAGGAACAGCGAGCCCCTTCCGAAACCGACAACAGTTCCCATTTCAGCGTTGTCATCGCAATGCTGCGAAAACAATGATGCAACTGGTCTGGCAGGGGCCATTGACAACACACATTGTTTCTCGTCTGGGTCGCTGGATGCGGCCTGGCGACCTCCCCGCGGAAACGCGTCAAGACCGCCCTAAGACGGCAATGAGACCCGACCAGAAGGCTTCGGTGTAAGTCTACAAGAGCCTCCTTACGAGGCCCTGATATGCTCCACAGAGCTCCCGAGAGGCGCCCAGAGAGCCAGGGAGGCCCCCAGCGAGGCGGCGAACTAGGAATCAAGGAACACATGATCTTGGGAATTCGTTGTTTCTGGGTTCCGAGGCTTTCCACTTTCAAATGGCCGAGGCTTCAGAGAGCGCCAAGACAAAGCTTAACTACGGCCTACGACCCAGCCAGATGGCTCCAAGATGGTTCAACCAAGCCGCTTCAGGAGACCTCGGTGGAGCCACCGCGCATCAGACGGTCTCAAACTCCCAACAAACCCGCACCAGGCCCTCCTGAAGTTTCCAAGATGTTTCCGATAGGGCCCCAAGGAGGCCCCAACTAAGTCCTCAAAAAGTCTCCGAGAAAGCTGACAACAGGGGACTGACTAAGCATGCAGTCAGTGATGCGACACGCTGTGCCATTGTAGCGCTCGCTGTCTCACAGACAACCCCACGATGGTTCTGCCAAGCCTGCTCGCGAGAGTTCGGTATGGCCCCCCCGAATGGATTTCGATGCTTCGGCAGCATGGGTGGCGGGCTGTGCCGCAAGCAACCGGATAGCTCCACAGCTCGCCGAGCTCCCGAGCACCGTCCAACACGACTGCCACCACGAGGGCGAGCTTCACCGAATGTCTCCCAGATGTCCCTGCGGCCTTGATGTGCCGAAGGCCAGGATCCGTCAGGCGCGCGACCTGCACCTGACGGAGGGCGGCACCCTAGCACCCGCCGTGACTGGAGGGCCAATACTCGATCCCCGCTGCATCAAACGGGGAAGACAGACGCCGTCTGTCCAGCAGGCAGCTGCCGCAAGCGAAAACAACAAGCAATTTGACCGAACGACGTACTGCTCTTTCGAGACGAGCGGGGCGGCGCCGGCACCAGGCACCGAAGTACTCGTGCCTCTTTGGCATAGCGCAGGAGGCCGTGGCCTCAGATCGAGGGCAGCATGGCGGCTACAGCCAGGCCAGGGGACTCGTGCAAGCAACCAGGGGCTGAGACGACAGAAACGTGATCCTGCCTTGACGAAGCGGGCCCGGTTCCTGACCTGACGCCGCGTGGTTTGAACGATCTCCGCTGCTGGAGGTTCTCAGAAACTCTCGCCCCCGTCTTTCGTGCGGATTTCTCGCCGTGGACGTTGAGCACCTCGAAGACAGCTGCGGGCCCCAAGTCGATCACCAGGGATGGAAAAACGGTGCTGGGGAAGGGGTCGAAAACTCTGGGGGTCAACGCTGCGAGTAGGCAGCGACGTCGGTGTGTCTCTCTCTCTCTCTCTCTCCTCCTCTCTGTGCCTCCGACTCCAAAGGTGGCTCACTCCTCTCCTCCGCCTGCTGCGTGGGCTCGTGAGAGCGAGCTGCGGCACCCTCCCGCCTCGCTCCTCCCTCTTCCCTCCTCACGCCTACGTCCACCCTCGGCTCAGGCGGGTGGTCATGGGGGGGGGTGCACCTGAATGGGGGGCGAAGAGAAGGGCCCCAAAGGGGCACGTTCGGGCTCCTTTTGGGCCCCTGCTGGCTCCAAAAGGAGCCCTACATTGCCCCTCTAGGGATCTGTTCTTCACTCCCCATTCGGGTCACCCCCCATTACCACCATGATACGCTTCCTGAAAGGACGCCAGCGGCAGGGACTTCTGAGACCGCGGCGTTGCCTTTGAGACCTCGAAGAAAAGTGCGAGCGAAAGCGTCGTGCAGCGACCTCGCGGGTGAAGCCGAACGGGCTTGGGAAATCAGCATCGCCCGCCTCAAGAGGCCCTTTCCCTGGGGTCCCTTTTTGGAACCACATGACGCCCACCCGACCTAGAGCAACAAAAAATGCCATAAACATAAACTCTCGCCAATCCGCGCGGATTTCTTGGATCTGACCTGGACAACCCTCCCTAGCGCGCGGAGCGCGCCAGGGGCGGCGCCGGAGGCGCCGCCAGGAGGTTCCAGCGCAGATCCAAGAACTCCGCGCGGGCCTCCGAACATTTATGTTTATGCCGATGTCTTCTTCTTCGACAATCGTCCTGCCTCCCTCCTCCCGCCTCCGCAGACTCTGCCTGTCTGGCGAGGGGGCAGCCCACTCGCCTGGGAGGAATCCGCGGGGGCGGAGCTCACGCGCACGCGGAGCCAGGGCCGCGCGCAGCAGCCGTGGTGGTTTTGGGAGATTCTGGCGGGCTCTGGGGGCACACAGGGACATATTGATACTATGTGTCTTCCTCGGAGGCGTGCGTCTGGCCCGAACATATCGTACAACCATCTTGTAGTACATGGTTTCCCGATCGGTATGGCCAGACAAAGCCCGCCACGACGCATATACTATACTATTTCTCGACGCGCGCGTCGCCCCTGGGGGGGGGGACGCACACATAACAGTAGTATGTTGGGGTGACGCTGGGCTCAAGGGGCGCTGGTCGAAGATTCCGACCAGGCTGGATGAACAGTTGAAGTTTCAACCCTTGTCCGAGAATAGACCAATAAACACACAACTGCATTCACATAAACTTTTGGCGCTCCATGCGGAGCGCCACAAATTGTTGTTTGTGCCGTTTTTTCTTCTTCGACTCAAAGGGCTCTGGTCCAAGATGTGAGAATGTCGACCGGGCGGGAGAAAGAGCTGATGCCTAAACTTTTGTCCGGGAAGGCAGTGCAGCGTAGGGGCTGCGCGAGCCGCCGCCGACAGCAGATTCTTCATGGCTCAACCTTACCACAGTCTCGTGCTACATGGAGGTGGGCTACTGCCAGAACCACGGCTACAGCTGGGACCGTGGCAACAACTGGTACCACGGCAACAAGAGCCAACAACTGGGACTGCGGCTGCAACAACAACAACAACAACAACAACAACAACAACAACAACAACCACAACATCAACACCACCACCACCACCACCAACAACAACAACAACAATAACAACAACAACAGCAACAACAACAACCACAACCACAACCACAACCACAACAGCAACAACAGCACGAGCAAAAGCAACAGCAACAGCAACAGCAACCACAACCATAACACCAACAACAACAACAGCACCAGCACCAGCAACAACCAACACCAACAACAACAACAACAACAACATCAACAACAACAACAACAACAACAGCTGGGACCACGGCGACAACACGGACCACGGCGACGACTGTGACCACGGCGGCGACTACGGCCAGAACCGCGGTATCAGCTGCGCCAGCGGCAACAACTAAGACCATGACAACAAGCGGGACCACGGGAACCACCAGGACTGCACAGGTGATGTGGGCCACCGTGGAGGTGAGCTGGGCCATCACGGAGGTGATCTGCGTCAATGTACAGGTGATCTAAGGCATCATGGAGGTGGGTGGGGTCGACGCGGAGGTGATCTGGGTCATCCTGGAAGTGCGCTGGGCCATCACGGAGGTTATCTGGGTAAGCGTGTCACGGCGAGACGGGCCTCGAGCCGCCGCCAGATCTGCAGCAGCGTACTCGCAGCTGCACTCACCACTGCCTCAACCACACCTCGCCTGCCACCACCTTGCCACTCCCGCCTTGCCGCCCGCAGTAGCCTACCGTTGCCTAGCTTCACCGCGCAGACACACCACTACCTACCTCCTCCTCCCTCCTCCCCCTTGCGGGGCCATGTGTACGGCCCTGAGGCGTATAGCATGGCATATGCTCTCATTCCAAAGGGAAGGTTCACCGCGCCACTTGCCTCCAGTCGGTCTTGAATGTTCAGGGCCCACTGCTGCGCGAATTTGAAGATCAGTGAGTACAGCACTCACTGGACACTCTGACATCATGGCGTTGAGGGTGTGCGTATCGTATCCTCCCGCCACCCCCCCGCCCTCCAGGGCCTCGTGGTCGCTGAGGCCGAGGTCGGAGCAAGCGGACAATACGCGCCTGTCACCGCACGCCTCGTACAGCGAGTCCGCCTTGCCGGTGCTCCCCACCGCCGCCTGCGCGGCGCTTTGCTTCCGATGTCGTCGTTGTCGTTTTTTTGTTCCCCTATTTTTGATTTTAATGTCGTCGTCGTCGTCGTTGTCGCTGCCGCCGCCGACGCCGCCGCCGCTGTCGGTCTTCGGGGATCTTCGGCGGGCTTCGGGGCCTCTCGGGGGGTCTCCAGAGGCCGAGGGGGGCGTGGGGGGAGTGGGGGATGGGGGAGGGGTTGGTTGGTTGGTGGTGCTCCCGTTGAGCCGGCATTCGGGAGCTTCGGGCGCACCTCTCTTTCAGCATAGCGCCACGGCCTGGGGGGCGGCTCGAAAGCGTCCGTGCTGCGACGGCCCTGGAGGCCAAGCCACCAGCGCAGGAGGGGACGAGAAAGGAGCTGTCAGAGCTCAGACGGCGGAGACGAAACCCGGAGAAAACAAGGAGCCTCATGCCCCAACGGCCGAAAGGCCCACAGGCAGGCCCCAGGAGAAACAGGCCAGGACCAAAACCCCCGCCGAAACAACGCGCCCCGACAGACTCCGACTCTCCACCCCCGGCCAGGCGCGACGCGGGAGAGGCAACTCAGGGACTCCCCGCGGGGACGGGGGGGGGCCGGGCAAGGGGATCCTGCCCGGGGCTCGTCCGATCTCTCCTACGCTGCCATGTCGACGCACGACGCAGGTGCGGGACGGCGACAGGAAGGGGGAGAGGAAGCCACCCCAAGGGAGAGGAGGAGAGAGGAGGTAGAGAGGACCCTGCCCGACCCGACCTTCCCTCCTGGGAACCCAGGCGGGAGGGAGGGCGGGTGTGAACTGTTCCCTGCGGCAGCCCAGAAACGGTCCGCCTCCCTCTCGATAAAAAGCGCCAGCAGGGCCGCCTGCGCGTACCCGGCATCCGTCGGGCATGCGGAAAGGACCGCTGCAGCCGCCGCCTCCGCGGAGGAAGGGGCCAGGCCCCCTTTGGGCCTCCCAGAAAGTGCGCCCGGGGAACTCCGTGCGAGAGCACAGCCCGAGAAGATGAAACGTGGGGCTCAGGGTCTGGATGCCGCACAGGACGCAGGATTGCCTCCGCGCAGTAACCCGGAGAAGCAATTAAGGAACCCCCCGGCGTTATCATTAGCACCGCGCCGTAATTAAATAATTATTTGGGGGGGTTTTCGCCGAGCGATATTATTAGCACCGCGCAAATGGAAGGAAAATAAATAATTCCAATGCCCCGCCTCGGGTGGCATCCCAATTAGAATGTAATGAGGACCCGTGCGATCTGGTGTACCCCCTCCTGGTGCCAGGATAACGCTTCCGGGTGCCGGGTGCGTTATCCTTTCACCGGAGAGGGGGGGGGGGGTCCTTAATCGCTTATCCGGGTTAGAAACGCTGTCAGAGAAGTGGCCGAGGGCCACAAGACGCCCTCGTAGCCTGCTCAGCGAGCGCTGGCCCAGTAGCACATCAAAAATAAACTTTTGTTTTAGGGCCAGCGCGAGATCTGGTCTGGGGACCGGCCCGAGACTGAGGACCGGCGGCCTCGTGTTGAGGCGCACCATCTGCCTCAGCTCCACTTCAGCGCTTCGCCAAGTGAGCTCGCACGTCTTGTACTGGAGCAAGGACTGCCCGCTGTGAGCGACCTCCCATGCAGGCCAGTGAGGGATGGACCAGTGATCGAGAAGAGCAAGCGAGCGCTGCGCCCAGGATCGCCCCCCCGATCCATGGGCTCGCAGGAAGATGCGCCTGTAGTGGTCGTCCTCCTGAAGCCTCCAGGGGCCTGCGCGCCGGGAGGCGATCTCGTACGCAGCCCTTTCGTGGCCTGAGAGCGACCATCCCAGCTCCGAGAGGGCCAATCCCGAGTGATGCCAAGGCGGGGCGCCTAGGAGAGCGCGCGCCCAAGCAGTGTAGTTGTCCCGCAGCTTGCCTGGCGCCCCCTCAGCCACTGCCCAGAGCCAGCGACCAAACCTGAGCGCGCCTTCGACCTGGCACTCGAAAATGTGGGCAGCGACGGCGAGCGGCACGACCCCCGCGGTGACGTGCCCCACCAAAGATGCACACTGCGCAGATGCTGCGCTCGACCGTGCATCCATGATTCGCTCGAGGTCGAGGTCTCCTGGCCACATCAGTCCAAGCCACTGGTGCGCGCCTTTGAAACCCAGCTGGACAGGAACTCTTCCCTTGAGAGGCAGGGTGAGGGGCACGGCGTCAGCCCCCGCCCTCCTGGCAGTAGAAGCGCCTTGGACGACCACCGCGTGATCCCCACGGGGATGCCGAGGGAGGAGCGGGAAGGCAAGGGGAAGGATTCCCCAGAGAGGCGGGGGAGGGGGACGATGGCTGAAAGAGGAATGCGGAGGAGGAGCGATGAGAGAGGCAGAGGAGGAGGAGGAGGAGGAGGAGGAGGAAGAGGAGGAGGAGGAGGGGAGGAGCTGGATGAAGAGGAGGATCGCTGGGGGGGAAGAAAAGGAAGATGGCTAATGGAGGAGGAACATGAGCCGGGTTCGGGAAGGAGGGGAAGGGCGAGGATGGCGGAGGGAGGAAGATCAGCAGCAGCAGCAGGAGAAAAGTTAGCTGAGGAAGGAAGGGAAGTAACATGATTCATCGGATGATGGAAAGGAGGGAGAAGGAGGATGATGAAGAACAGATAGGATGATCAGGATGCAGACGATGATGCTAGTGATGATGGCTGTGCCAACTATGGTGATATGTATGTAGCCATGACGTTGGAGCAACCATTCAGCTGGTGCACTTCTGAATAATCTGTGCGAAAACGAAACCTCACGAACGCTCACAAACCGCCTCAAACTACTGCGTCTCGACCCGTGCCAACTCTGCGCCTACTCCATCGTTCCACGACAAAGCGGAATCCTTGCGCTTGACTTGTTGCCTGGACGGTAGAGATCAATGCTTCTTGCGCTACACAAGGAAACCAGACCCAGGGTGCGTGACTGTCACCACACTTGTCAGACATAGTCTTTGAGCCGTCATACAGGAGAACTACATTTCAGAACAAGGTTCAACCTAAACAATGCTTATGATTTTCGCTTTGGTTTCGTTTTGCGTCGTTGTCTTCGCCCCACCCTTTCTGCTAAACGAAACCAAAAAGACAACGGTGCACGAAATCGCCCAAACATCGTTCAACGGGCGCGACACTATAGAAGTGGAGGACCAACGCCTGCAGCATGCTGGACACGTGCTCGTAGAATTCGTTGGACTCGTACAATCCGACGACTGGCACCCTGTCGCACACGAGGTCGAACTCGATGTTCGACTCCTCCTCGCTGTCGCAGCTGGGCTCCCGGCGGCCCCGGTCCCGGTCCCGCAGCCAGCTTTCTCCCTCCTTGGGGAGATGGGCGTGAGGAGGGGCAAGCAGGGGGGGGGAGCGAGGGATAGTGGGAAAGTTGGGAGGGAGGGATGGGGGAGAGGGACGAGGGAGCAACGAAGAGTAAATTATGAGGGAAAGGGCGCGGATTCAGGGGGAGGGAGGAGGAAGGGATTGAGGGAAGGGGGAGGGCGAGGAGGGTGGGAGGGAAAGGGAGCACGGGATCAGGATGGATAGGGCATCTTCTCACCCTCCTCCACCACCTCTCGCCCCTTCTCCCCTTAGAGAGGAAGGAGCGGGGAGGGGGAGCACGGAAGAGAAGGCGGATGGGGTGCATGGCAAAGAGGAGGCATGAGGCAGGAGGGATGAAGGGGAAGAACCACATCATCCCAAACCCTCGAAACTCGCCTCGGCCTCCTCCTCCTCCTCCTCCTCCTCCACAATTAATCCATATGAATACTACTCTCCTCTCTCCCCTGGTGGCGTCCGGGAAATGGCCAGCCCCCACCACGTACTGGCATTTTACACACAAGATTTCCCGGAAACGGGTTTTCGCTTGGGTTTTTGATTCAACATGCTGCTCTCGCTGAAGCGCTGGCCTCATGCCGCTCGTTCCGAGTCGTGCTCCCGCTGCAACGCTGGCATCATTTCTGCGCTTCCGCTCGTTCCGAATCGTGCTCCCGCTGCAGCGCTGGCGTCATTATTTCCAGCTTCCTGCCACGGCATCGTGATTTTCGATCCTTCCAAACAGGCCCCAAAATCTAGAAAATGACCCCCCCGAATAAACCATCGGAATTGATTCTACATTCGGTGTCGATTCGTTGATTCTCTGGGCCGCAGAAGCCCCCCCCCCCACTTTGGAGCGTCGCCAAGCCATGCTATGTCAGGCAACGCGTCCTCATTTCCGCGCTTCGTTTTTTTGTTTTTTGTCAAACTGCTGCTCTCGCTGAAGCGCTGTCCTCATTCTCGGGCTACCGCTCGTTCCGAATCGTGCTCCCGCTGCAACGCTGGCGTCATTTTCCAGCGCCATGCCACGGCATGGTTTTCGGTCCTTCCAAATTGCCTGCAAATCTAGAAAATGCCCCCCCAAAAAAACAAAAAACAAAAACAAACGATTTGAAGTGATCACTCATTCGGTGTCGATTCGTTGATTTTCTGGGCCGCAGAAGCCCCCCCCCACTTTGGGGCGTCGCCACGCCATGCTATGTCAGGCTACGCGTCCTCATTCCCATGCTTCCGCGCTTCGTTTTTTGGTTTCTCCAAAATGCTGCTCTCGCTGAAGCGCTGGCCTCATTTTCGGGCTACCGCTCGTTCCCAATCGTGCTCCCGCTGCAGAGCTGGCGACATTATTTCCAGTGCCATGCCACGGCGTGGTTCTCGGTCCTTCCAAATGGGCCCCAAAATCTAAAGAATGGCCTCCCGAAGAAACTATCCGAAATGATTACACATACGGTGTCGATTACTTGATTTGTTGGGCCGCAGGATTCCCCCCCTCATTTCGGGGCGTCGCCACGCCATGCTATGTCATGCTACGCGTTCATATTCAACGCCATGTTATGCCATGCAATGCTATGCCATGCTACGACATCCGATTGTGCGAATAGGGAGGATATCTGCGCCATTGTAAGGGATGGGGAGGAGGGGTAGGACGTCAAGTATGACGCGAGCGCACCTAGCTTGCCCTTCTCCCCTCCCCCCCCTCCCCCTCCTCCTCCTCCTCCTCCTCCTCCTCCTCCTGCTCCTGCTCCTGCTCCTGCTCCTGCTCCTGCTCCTGCTCCTGCTCCTGCTCCTACTCCTCCTGCTGCTCCTCCTCCTCCTCCTCCTCCTCCTCCTCCTCCTCCTCCCTTCCTCCTGGTCTTGCTCGTCTTCGCCCCCTCCCCCACGTGAGAGACCCTGGAGGGCGGGGCCGTGCGCGAGCTTTCGGAGGCCCCAGTCCCGCGACCAAGCTGGCTTGTCTGACCAAGCCTGCCTGTCCCAGCCGCCACGGCCCATCCAGAATCTGGCCCGCCCTGCTCCGCACGACTGGCGGGCCCGCGCGCGCGCGCGCCTTCGCCCGCTCCCTGGCAAAGGGAACGGGAGGGGGAGGAGGGATGAAGAGGAGGAGGGGAAGACGAGTGGAGGAGAGGAGGATGTTGGGAGAGAAAGCCAAAATGAGAAGAGACACCAAATTCGCCGGCCCAACGGGCCAGAGGCGTGCTAAGATCTCTGGTAACTGGTTAACAATATTTCTAGTTCGCGCGCGCGGGGCGGCCCCTGGGGGTCCCCAAGCGAAAAGTATCCCGAGCGCAGCCCGACCAGCTCTACTCAGAGATGGTTTTGAGGGCCTTTTTTCGACACCCCTCACGAGGATCGTGGCCTCCGAGGGGGGTGCACTCGACTACCCTGCCCCAAGAGGCACCCAAGAGCCCCCCAAGAGGCCCAAGGGGGCCCCAAAACGCCGCCAAGGAGCCCCAAGAGACCCTCCAGAGGCCCCCAAGAGGCCCCTGGGAGGCCCCAAAGAGGCCCCCAAGAGGCTTCAAAGAGGCCCCATAGAGCGCTCGAGGGCCGGCGGAATGAGCGAAGCGATTAATAAGAGAGGAGAGGAGGAGGAGGAGGAGGAGGAGGAGGAGGAGGAGGAGGAGGAGGAGGAGGAGGAGGAGGAGGAGGAGGAGGAGGAGGAGGAGAGGAGGAGGAGGAGGAGGGAGGAGGAGGAGGAGGAGGAGGAGGAGAAGGAAGAGGAGGAGGACGAGGAGGAGGAGGAGGAGGAGGAGGAGGAGGAGGAGGAGGAGAGGACGGGGAAGGTGGGGGAGAGGGAGGGAAGGAACGGCGGGGAGGAATCTGAGGGAAGGCGCGCGCGCGCGCCGCCCCAGTGGGTGGACGCAAGGGGGGCGGCAACAGAGAAGGGAGCCAGCGAACCAGTCACACGAGGCCGGTCTTGCGCCGGGAGCGACTGGCTGCGTCGGGGCGAGAGCGTGGCCGTGGAGCCGGAGCGGGCTGCACCGCCAAGACACGTCCGCACCCACGGCTCCTGGAGCCCTGCCCCTGGGGCCCTTGGAGGCGGTGGTTCCAACACGGGCGCTCTCCGCCCGCCGCGGGGCGGGCACGCCTGCACCCACGTCGGGCCCACTGCCCGAGGTCCCAGGGGGCACGGCCAGGGGGCGTGGCGGCAGCTTCCGACCCCCTTTTCGGGTGTTGCTAGAAGTACCCCTGGCCCAAGGTGCCCCCAGCTTTTCGCTCCATTTTGGAGCCCCTGGGGCCCTCTGGGCCTCGCGAGGGGTGCTTTGGAGGCCGTTTGGGCTACCCCGGGAATCCGGGGGGCACCTTGGCCCAGGGGCACTTCTGGCAACACCCGACCTTTCTTGCTGCCACCCCGAGGCCGGCCGCGGCGGCGCGCACAGAGGGAAGGGGTCGGGGGCGAGGGCCGTCGGCCTTGCCGAGCAGGCGGGGGCGGGCTCCGCAGGAGCCCTCCCGCCTCCCGAGAAGCCTCCGTCCCCTCCTGTCGTGCTGCATCCTCGGGGGACCTTGCCTGTCCCCTCTCGGCCCTATCCGCGTCGAATCGGCGTTGAATCCACGTCGGGCTCGTCCGACCCGCGCCGAATCCGCGTCGGATCCACGCCGAGTCCACGCCGAGCCCGCGTCGGGCACTCTTAGAGGCTGGCGCTTCTTATGTTAGTTAAGCTTAGCGATAAGTACCTCAAGTAACTTAGCCCACTTACCGTTGCTACTTAGCTGTACTTACTAGCTTACGTACAGAGTTACTTAGGGTGGCATGTGCAAGTTACTTAGGGGATACTGATAACTACCACTAACTTTTTCAGAGGAGGAGGAGTAGGAGGAGGTGCAAGCAGAAAGAGGGGAGGAGGAGGAGGAGGAGGAGGAGGAGGAGGAGGAGGAGGAGGAGGAGGAGGAGGAGGGAGGAGGAGGAGGAGGAGGAGGAGGAGGAAGGGGAGCATGCAGAAAAACGTGCGGAGGAAGCTGTCATTTACCCCAAGAGGGGGAGGATGAAGGAGGAATCGTCGTCGTCGAAGGGCGAGGACGAGGAGGGCGAGCAAAGAGGAGAAGGAGAAGAAGGATGATAATGAGGAGGAGGAGGATAAGGAGGAGAAGGAGGATGAGAAGGAGGAGTAGGGGAGGAGGAGGAGGATGAGGAGGAGGAGGAGGAGGAGGAGGAGGAGGAGCAGGAGAAGAAGGAGGAGGACGAGGACCAGTAGAATAGCCAGAAACATTTTGAATTAAGACGTCTCTTGGAAGCCTGTTGGAGGCCTCTTCGGGCGTCTTGGGGTCTCTTGGCGGTCAAGGGGGGCTCTTGGGCGGCTTGGGTGCTTCGGGGGGGCCTCGACCCTCCCCGAGGTCCGCCCCGTGCCGTCGACGAGGACGAGGACGAGGACGACGAGTACGGGGGAGGCCCCGAGGGGGGGCCCGACTCCCCCCGAGGCCCGCCACGTGCCGTCGACGAGGACGATGACGAGGGGCCCCGACCCGCCTCGAGGTCCGCCGCGTGCCGTCGACGAGGACGAGGGCGAGGACGACGAGGACGGGGGGGGGCCGCGAGGGGCCCCGCCCCCTCCCGAGGTCCGCCGCGTTCCGTCGACGACGACGAGGGCGGGGACGACGAGGACGGGGGGGGGTCCGAGAAGGAGGAGGAGGAGGAGGAGGAGGAGGAGGAGGAGGAGGAGCAGGAGCAGGAGGAGGAGGAGGAGGAGGAGGAGGAGGAGGAGGGGAGGAGGAGGAGGAGGAGGAGGAGGAGGAGGAGGAGGGAGGAGGAGAGGAGGAGGAGGAGGAGGAGGGGAGGAGGAGGAGGAGGAGGAGGAGGAGGAAGGGGGGAGGAGGGGAGGAGGAGGAGGAGGAGGAGGAGGAGGAGGAGGAGGAGGAGGAGGAGGAGGAGGAGGAGGAGGAGGAGGAGGAGGAAGAGCCTCGCCCAGACGGCAGAATCCCTTGGAAACCGGCCCCTGGACCCCTCCCAGCAGGGTCCATCCTGGCCAGTCTCTCGAGCTGCGTCTGGCTGCGGCCGCGAGGACCCCCCCGCAGAGGGTGCACGACAACGGCGCGTTGAGTCTTCGCTTCGCACCCGTTGCAGAACGAAGACGACCTTGGGAGACTCTCCAGGGCAGCGCTTTGGCCACGAACGGCTACCTGTTGCCCCTAGGACAAAGACGAGACGAAAACGGCACCAAAACGAGAGAACGACCCATGATGCTGCCCTGACGAGCGATCTGGTCGACCACAGTAGGCGAAGCTCCCGCGCAATGGGCGACGTGCAGCGAAGGCCCCACAGAGGGCAGTCTGGTCCCTCCAGATACTGGCGGCGAGCGCGGGGGAGGAAGCGAGAAGGGGGGGGCCTTTTCAGAAGGCTCGGAAGTTCCAGGCCTTCTGAGAAGTGTTCCAAGCCTTCCCTGAAGGTGCAGAACACTTCCCAGAAGGCGCGCGGGCTTCTGAGAAGTCCCGCCGCCTTCTGAGAAGGCCTCCTTCTCCTCACCTCGCCGCCCGCTCGCCGCCGAAGAACGCCCCACAGTGCGCGAAACGCAGCCCAGAGCCCCCCCGAAGCCGAGACCCCAACCCCGAATCGCACGCCGTGGCCCCTCCCCTCTCGGGCCGTACGCTTCGGACCAGAGGCCGCCCAGATTGGGTCGGAGCAGATGGGGTCGGAGGATCGCGCAGCATCGGCGATACATCGGTGATGCAGCGGCGATGCATCGGCGATGCATCTGCGACGTCGGGGATGCATCGGCGGCGTCCGCGTGAAGAACATCGGGCTCCGCATCGAGCCGCATCGGCGATGTATCGGCGATGCGGGGCGATCCTCCGACCCCGTCTATTCGGACCCCATCTGGGAGGCCTAGACATCGTGGACCCCGCGCTGGAGGTGCCCCCCACCCCTGGTGGTGGTAAGACGAAGCCAGAATGAGGGCAACATCGGGCGAGGAGAAACCGCGAACCCCTGAGATCTAGTGGCCTTGGATAGGCGACCACATTGGAACCCTACTCCCACCCCCAACGAAAGCTCCCGAACGAAGTGAACCTCCACCCCCCCTCAGAAATCGTGGGGGGTGGGGGTATGGTTCACATGTGGTCACCCATCTGGAAGATGTCTCGAGCGCCGCGGCCTTCTTAGAGCGTTCCGGAATGTCCCGGGAGAGCGTTCGGCAACGCTCCGGAACGAATTACCCAGACCCCCGACGTCAGGACCTTCTCACAACGTGGACCCCCTGAGGTCTGGACCCCTTCCCTGGGACCCGTGTTTCATCCCGAATTGATTTTTGACAGTCCCGAGGCCCGGGAAGGGCCCCCGGAGGCAGAAAGCAGCCAAAAGCCTCTCGTCGTGATGAATTTTTCCGCAGCGCGAGGGGGTCCCTGGGGTCCGGGGCTCCTCGTCCCGCCCGAGGTCGCCCTCCTTCCTCCGACGCAACCTCGGGCCCCGACGGCCCCGCCCCTCTGCGCGCCCCGCGCCCCGACCGCCCGCCGCCCGCCCGCGGGGGCCGGGCCCCCCCGCCGCGCGCTGGGCCCGCGTGCGCGGGCCCCCACGGCGCCCTCGGGGCCTGCCGCGGCTGCGGGCAGGAGCCACGGCGGCTGCGGCGGCGACGGCGACGGCGACTCTCCCTCTCCTCCTCCTGCCTTCCCCCCCCCCCCCTTCCTCGAGAGCTGCGCTTCGACCCCTTGAGGTGGAGGAGGATGCGGCGCCACGAGGGGGGGGGAGGGCGCTCGCTCCCTCTTCCCCGCGGCCGCGCCGCGCGCGTGGCCGGCTCCGCGCGCGCGCTTCGCAGAGTCCAGAGCAGCCCGCGCTGGTGGTCCGACCCCTCCGCGCGCCGAGGGGGAGCTCGGGGCGGGGGCACCGCTGGAGGCCCTCCCAGACGGGGTCGGAGCAGACGGGGTCGGAGGATCGCGCCGCATCGGCGACACATCGGCGATGCAGCGGCGATGCAGCGGCGATGCATCTGCGACGCCGAAGAACGCCCCACAGTGCGCGAAGCCGAGACCCCCACCCCGAATCGCGCGCCGTGGCCCCTCGCCTCTCGGGCCGTACGCTTCGGACCAGAGGCCTCCCAGATGGAGTCGGAGCAGACGGGGTCGGAAGATCGCGTAGCATCGGCGATACAGCGGCGATGGGCGATGCATCTGCGACGTCGGCGATGCATCGGCGACGTCTGCGTGAAAAAAATCGGGCTCCGCATCGAGCCGCATCACCGATGTATCGCCCATGCGGCGCGATCCTCCGACCCCGTCTGCTCCGACCCCGTTTGGGAGGCCTAAGCATCGCTTACGTATCGGCGATGCATCGGCGATGCATCGGCGATGCACCGGTGATGCACTGGTGATGCATCGTTGACGTCGGCGACGTCAACGTGAAGCAGAGCGGGTTCTACATCCAGCCGCGTCGCCGATGCATCGGCGATGCGGCGCGATCCTCCGACCCCATCTAGAAGGCTTAGAACCGCATGTCGCGGGGGTTTTAAAGGTTAAAGCCCCGAACCTACGGCGACGGCGACTGCCACGATGACGATGGTGGCGACGATAGCGGTGGCGGCGGCTGCGATGACGACGACGAGCACTATCTGCGTCGCCATCATCTTCGTCGTCGGCATCGTCGTTGTCGTCAGCATCGTCATCGTCGGCGGCGGCCGCGGCATCGGCATTGTCGTCGTAGTCTTCGTCGGCGGCGGCGGCGGAGGCGTCGTCGTCGGCATCGTCGTCGTCGTGGTCGTCGCCGCCGTCGTCGTCAGGGGCAGCGCACGTCGCTCGAGGCATGCTGGCGTCGTCGCTGGGGTGGGCAGAGGTGGAGCGAATGTGTTGCTGCACTGCTCGGGGACCCAACATCTGTGCCACGACAGCGACAGACAAACGGAACGCATCACGACTTCGAGACAGAAACCGGAGCGTATCACGACCGTGACGCAGGATATGGATGCAGAAATGTGGAGGAACCACTGGGGTCCCCAGGCCGCCCCGGGAAGCCCGAGGACGTCAACCAAAACACGACCCTCGTTTCCCCTCTGCCCCCTCCTCCACGTCGCTACTAACTTGGAATGGAAGAGCAGGTCCTGGAAGAGATGGGGCCCAAGTATTTGTCGCAATCTTCGCCCCAGGGGCCTCCCGCGGGACCGCAACATACAGTAAGCCTCTATCATCAGGATGCGCGATAAGTGAGGATGCAAGGGCCTTGGACGCCCATTTCGAAGCTCGTCGAGCGGGGCGCGGCCAGCGAAAGTGGCCAAGGATGGGCCGATGAGGCAAGGATGCAAGGGTACCCTTGGGAAAATTGCCCATCCCTACTATGCGGGTTGACTGTATGGAGACTGAGGATGGAGAGCTGGCACTGGGGACCCCCACCCGGGGACCAGGACCGGTTTCTCTCAGGACCCGTTTCATTCACGGCGACTGGCGACTGAGGGTGCACGCACGAGTCGTCGCTCCAGCATGCTGGCTGGAGGGCGACCCTCCTTCTGCGTGCTGAGCGGCCCGCTGGCGAGCTCCTCCTCGAGGAAGCGGGCCTGACCCCCATGGCTGCTCGAGAGGGGGAGACAAGCGGACGAAGAGGACACTGACCCACTCGCTTCACGGCGATCGGCGTGCGAGATAGTTGCCCCTCCCCAAACCCTCCAGCCAATCTGTTGAGCGGGGGGGTCCCAGGGATTCCGCTAGCGGACTCACCTGCACCAGAAATGATCCCAGACACATCAACTTCCCACCATATGGTGGTTTTGAGGTCGCCTTCGAAAGGTCCGAAACGGCCCCAAAGGGTCCCAAGGCGACCCAAGCTGGCTCCAAGACGGCCACAACGCCTCGAAGACGGTCAAAGATGGCTTCAAGAGATCCCTTAAGGGAGCCCCCCAAAGCCCAAATCGTCGAAATCGAATTGTTGTTGTTGGTATGATTTGCGCATGCCCGCTTTTTTATGCGAAGCAGCGTGCAGCACACGGCCCATGAGTCCCCCAAGACGGCCCAAGAGGGGCCCTGGATTGCCCGAGAAGCCTCCAAGGGAAGCCCAAAAGATCACCAAAATGGTCCCAGGAGGAGTCATTAGGGGGGAACTCGAACTGACATGTCGATCTCTCCGCTCCAAGATGGCCCCGAAAGGCGCCAAGGGGCCCCCCAGGCGTTTCCAGGTGCGACACAAGGCCGGCCCACACATTGAACATACTTCGCGAGGATTCGGGGCATACATGTTGGCTGACACGCGAAGAATGAAGAACGGTGTGCCTTGACAGTGTTACTGCTAGCTCGGGCACGACTTCCTGCAGGCGGAATCTTGGAGAACAAACAAACATTGACAGACGTCATCAAACAAATCGAAAGAGCACGACGACTCGACACCAGACGATGTGCTGCACTGCTCTTGAGCACTCCTCCTGCAGACGTGCCCGACGTACGCCCGGGGGCGGTTGCCGGGCCCCGAGGCCGTCAACACACAAGCGAGACAGCAGGAAGACCCGCCCCAGGGATGGGGCTTGAGACCTCCGGGCGCCCGCGCTGCCACGACGATGGAGTGCGGAAGGATCAGGGGGACGTAAGACCCGGGTACAGTGGACTCGGAAATCCCCGACGAGGTCGTCAAAAAAATGACGAGGCCGAGCCTGCATTTTGACGAGGCCTCCCGCTGCAGACATCCCACGAAACTCCTCCTCGTCAAAATCCGAGGCGCGGTCGTCAAAAAACGATGCGAACCCGAGTCCTGGCAAACCCGGGTCTTACGCTCCCCCGAAAGGAGCAGGCGAGGCTGGGGGAGAGTGACCTGCGACTTCCGCGCGGAGCGCCAAGAGTTTGTGCTTGTGCCGTTCTCTCTTCTTCGACAGGTGGGGGAGGGAGATCTACACCTCGAAGGGGATCTGAGGGCGTCCAGCGGTCTCTGAGGGTTTCCCCGCTGCTCTCAGAGCTTCCAGGGGATGGCGGAGGAGACGAACAAGGATTAGGAGGAGCAAGACTGGGAGCACGAGGAGCGCGAAGACGTGCAACGCGCACCTGCTCTTTCCTCCCGCGCACCTGCCCTCGACCTTATCGACCGCTTCTTTCTTCTGCCTCGCGCCAGAATCACCGCGAGTCGTTTGAGCGCTGTCCCTCTGGTCCTACCTTCCCCCCTTCCGCCGAGGCCGGCACGAACCTCTGGCGGTCTCTCCTGGTGCCTCCAGAGGCTCGAAGAGCCAACCTTTGAGACAACGCGCCTGCACCTCCACACTCTTTAGCCCCGCTCCCCTCCCCCGGGGGGGGGCGTTGTTGCGGCCCCGCCTCAAACAGTGGCGAGACGTACCAGCTTGCCTGTAGGCCCCCCAAGGAATGTTCTGAGCACCTCTTGTGGTCTGCACGAAAGACGTTTCGAGCATGTCTGGCTGAGGTCGTCTTGTTTTAACGCGTCGGCCTCGTCTTATCAAAGCCGTCGGCACGCTCCTCTCCGAATTGTATGCGTTCGTATGCGCGTTAGGGAGGGGGGGGCGCCGCCTTGGACGGCAGCCCCAAGTCGACCCCGACGGACTGCCCCCCCCCCCCCGCGCGGTGCGCGGACGAGGAGATGTCGACCCCCGTTGGATGGGGGACCCCTCCACGCTTGCAGTCGGGCCTGGGCCAGAGGAGCACCCTTCAAGAGCGTGAGGCCCTCCGTCGGCCACGGCACACAGAACGTCCAATGGGTACCCTCCCCCGGATGCACCAAGAACATCCAACCAGCACGAAGAACACCAGGGCACCCTCCCCGAACCGACCTCGATCTTATACCTCGGTCCGACTGTATTGCCAAACGCGCAGCGCCGCTCCATGGATCCCCGTGCTGTCCCATCCCATCCAGCTTCAGGCGCCGCTCCATCGTCCTTCTGTGGCGGCGCTCCGCCAGCTGCTCCTGCCTCCGCGCGGCGGGGAAAGGTGGATGGGAAGCACGGGGAGGAAGAGGTGCGCGAGGACGACGACATACCAAAAAAACATATAAGCAGGCAAGCAAGCAGACAAACAGACGACGAGTGGCGAAAACGCCGGACGACGACGACGACGAATCTCCCTCTCATCACCCTGCCCCCCCCCTTCCTGGAGGGCTACGCTTCGAACCCCCGAAGTGGAGGATGATGCGGAAGGCGGGGGTGGAGAACGACGACGACGACGAATCTCCCTCTTCTCCTCCGGCCCCCCCCTTCCTCGAGGGCGACGCTTCGAACCCCCGAAATGGGTGGAGAAGGAAGAACACCATGCCAACACAAATTCTGCAGTCCTTCGCCCTCTTTTTGGGGCCTCCGTGGGGCCCCCTGGGCGCCACGGCTGGATCCGCTTCGACGTCCTCGTCGGCGCGCGCCCCAGGGAGAGGTCCGAGAGAGGGCGGGGAGCTGTGTTTCCCAGGCCTCCCGTGTTGGCCTCTCGGTTCTCCTCCTCCTCCCACCGCATGTGGATGGCAGGCAACTCCGAGGCAACTCCTGCTCCACTTCCTCCTCATCCTCCTATCTACCCCTCCTCCTCCTCCTCCTCCTCCTCCTCCTCCTCCTCCTCCTCCTCCTCTTGCTGCTGCTCCTCCTTCTCCTCCTCCTGCTCCTCCTTCCTCCTCCTCCTCCTCCTCCTCCTCCGCCTCCTCCTCCTCCTCCTCCTCCTCCTCCTCCTCCTGCTCTTCCTCCTCCTGCTGCTGCTGCTGCTCCTCCTCCTCCTCCTCCGGCTCCTCCTCCTCCTCCTCATCCACCCTCCTTCTCCACTGCCTCCATCCTCCTCCTCCTCCTCCTCCTCCTGCTCCTCCTCATGCTGCTCCTCCTCCTCCTGCTGCTCCTCCTCCTCCTCCTGCTCCTGCTGCTCCTCCAAACTCCTCCTCCTCCTCCTCCTCCCTCCTCCTCTCTCCTCTGCTCCTCCTCCTCCTCCTCCTCCTCCTCCTCCTCCTCCTCCTCCTCCTCCTCCTCCTCCTCCTCCTCCTCTCCTCCTCCTCCTCCTCCTCCTCCTCCTCCTCCCTCCTCCTCTCCTCCTCCTCTCTCCTCCACCCTCCTCCTCCTCCTCCTCCTCCTCCCCTCCTCCGCCTCCTCCTCCTCTCCTCCTCCTCCTCTCCTCCTCCTCCTCCTCCTGCTCCTCCTCCTCCTCCTCCTTCTCCTCCTCCTCCTCCTCCTCCTCCTCCTCCTCCTCCTCTCCTCCTCCTCCTCCTCCTCCTCCTCCTCCTCCTCCTCCTCCTCCTCCCCCTCCTCCTCCTCCTCCACCCCCTCCTCCTCCTGCTCATCCTCCTCCTCCTCCTCCTCCTCCGGCTCCTCCTCCTCCGCCTCCTCCTCCTCTGCTCCTCCTCCGGCTCCTCCTCCTCCTCCTCCTCCTCCTCCTGCTCCTGCTCCTCCTCCTCCTCCTCCTCCTCCTCCTCATCCACCCTCCTCCTCCACCCGCTTCCTCCTCCTTCTGCCCCTCATGGCATGCGCGAGGCCTGTCCGCCACCGCCCTTGTCGGCACCACGCCGCCGGCCCCGGAGGCGGAGGGGGCGGGTCGCTCTCCGCCGGCGGGGCCCTGCCGGGCAGGGGTGGGCGAGGGTCTCTGGTTTTGCCGCCGCGAATTCTCGTGGTGAGTACCCGTCGGTCGGAAGAAGTATGTAGAAACATGAAGTAGGAAGGCGGATATAGTGGAGAACAACAAAGCACAGCAAAAGCGTGTCGATTCTTTAAATAGGAAGGCGCTTGAAATAGACCGGGATCTGGGAATCCAAAAATATCTACTTTCAACGACCGGCGTGTACAGTCGGCCCGTATCACACCGTAGGGGCCCGACCACAAGAAACCTTCCCCACAAGAAACCCAAACCTGCGACCCCAGGACGTCCATTGATTCTTGGTGTGGGAATGTCACACGTTCCATGGCACGGTCGTCGAAACCACAGAAACCCAAGGCACCCTGGAAGCAATCAGGATGTTTCTTGGCATGGGCCCCCACCGTGCAGTCGGCCCGTATCACAAGGGCGCACGATAAGGATGCAAGGGTCTTGGAAGGCCGTTCCGAAGCATTTCGGGCGGGGCGCGGCCAACGAAAGTGGCCAAGGATGGGCCGAGGAGGCAAGGATGCGAGGGTACCCTTGGGAAGGGTGTCCATCCTTACTATGCGGGTTGACTGTAAGGACGAGGACGAGGACGAACAGCAGCAGCAGGAGCTGGAGTGGAAGGAGCGGGAGGGGCGGGAAGACCAGGGGAGGGTGGAGGAGGAGAGACGAGGCGGGTCACAACGATGAAGCAGAACTCGGATCCAGAAAAGTGACCCACGCCTAGGAGAGAGCACCATTCTGAACGACTGGAGCAGAGCGCCGATCCGACTCTCGATGATGAAGAAGAGAGATACTATGCCGAGGGGTTGGCACGAGGCCTGAGGACGTCTTGGGCCCTCTTGGGGCGTCTTGGGGCCTTGTTGGGCCCCCTTGTGCCCCTCGGGGTCGTCTTGGAGGTCTCTTCGGGTGGTCCAAGAGATCCCTTGGCGCTCTCTTGGGCCGTCCTGGGGCCCTTTGTTTTTTCTCAAACATCCTGTGGTGTTAGGTCATTGTTTTGAAGAGACACAGCCCCCGAACACAAATGGGGCGCAGAAAACCAACGGGGTGCCGAAAACCTAAGAGCGCCGACAACCAAAAGGCCGCCGAAAAGCAACGGGGCGCCGAAAACCAAAGGGGCGCCGAACTACCACACGAACGCCGAAAACCAAAGGGGCGCCGACAACCAAAAGGGCGCCGAAAAACAAGGGCGCCGAAAACAAAAGAGGTGCCCCCCCAAAGGCGCCGAAAACCAAAGGGGTGCCACAAACCGAAGGGTCGACAACCAAAGATCGCCGAATACTAAACGGGCGCCGAAACCCAAAGGGCGCCGACAACCAAGAGGGCGCTGAAAACCAAAGTGGTGCAGGAAAGCAAAGAGCGCTGAAAACCAAAAAAGCGTCGACGAAAACCACTGGGTCTCCGAACACCAAATGGGCGCAACCAAAAGAAGCACCGAAAACCCAAGGGGCGCCGAAAACCAAAGTAGTGTCGAAAATCACAGGGACGACGAACACCGACAAAGATCCAGAAACCAAAAGGGCGCCGAAAACCTAAAAGGCGCCGAAAACCAAAAAGGCGCCGAAAACCGAAGGTGTCCCAACCGAAAGGGCGCCGACAACCACACGGACGCCGAAAACCAAAGGGGCGCCGAAAACCAAAAGGGCGCCGAAAACCAAAGGAGCGCCGAACACCGAAGGTGTGCCGACAACCAAAAGGGAAGCCTAAAACATATGCGCCGACAACCAACAAGGCGCTGAAAACCCAATGGGGCGCCGAAAACCAGAAGGGCGCCGAGAACCAAGGAGTCGCCGAAAACCAAAAGGGTCTCCGACCACCAGCGGGGCGCCGAACACGAAAAACGCGCCAGAACCAAAGGGGCGCCGAAAATCTGAGGGGCGCCGGAAACGAAAAGGGCACCGACAGAAGCCAGGCCGGCGCCGACAACCAAAAGGGCGCCGAGCAGCAAGGGGCGCCGAAAACCAAAGGAGCGCCGAAGACCAAAGGGATCCCGAGAACCCGAGCGGCGCCGGACACCAGAAGGGCACCGAAAGCCAGGGGAGGGAGCGCCGAGAACCAAAAAGGCGCCGAATACCACACGGGCGCGGAAGGCCCAAGCGGCGCCGGAAACCAAGAGGGCGCCGAAGGCCAAAGAGGCGCCGAACACCCCAGCTGACGCAGAACACCACAGGAGCGCCGAACACCCAGGGGGCGACGAAGACCAAAGGGGCGTCGAGCACCGAAAGGGCGCTGAAAACCAAAGACACACTGGAAGCCAAGGAAGCCTCGAAAACCAAAGGGACACAGACAACCAAAGGGACCAGAACAGCAAAAGGGCGCCGAGAACCACGGGGGCGCCGAAAACCGAAAACGGCCCCAAAAACCAGAGGGGCGCCGAACACCAAAAAGAACACCAAACACCAAAAGGCCGCCGAAAATGGAAGAGGTTCCGCAAACTCACAAGGGGCGCCGAAAGTCAAAGAGCGCCGACAACCAAAAAATCGCCGAAGAACAAAGGGGCACCGAAAACCAAAGAGGCGCCGAACAACAACCTGGCGCCGAAAAATAGAGGGGCATGGAAAACCATCCATGCGCCGCAAACCAAGAGGGCGCCGAAAAACCCGCGGTGCGCCGATATCAGCAATACGTCTTTAGACCCCCCCCAATACTTGGAAACGAATGATCTGTTCGGCAACCTTATTTCGGGCGTTGGCAGAACTGGGTTTTAGTGGGACCTGGCTTAGTGATGTGTACTGGGGGGCGCCCCCCCCGCCCCGTTCCGCTAACCGGAACTGCCGTCACCCGGAAAACAAAAGTTACGGCAAACCTGGTTTAGTGAATCTGGCCAATTAAGGGGCCCTAAGGCCCTACCACTAACCGGGTCCCCTTACCCGGGGCCCTGGCTATACCGGACTATTGGCGGACCGGGCTCCCACCGATGGTGGGAAGAAGTGCTCTCTCCGCTGCGCCCGCCGCGCACCGACAACGACGGGCAGCCAAGGGAGCACTCTTCGCTAGGAGCGGGAGCCCCGAGACAGGATCCAGCGCGGCGAACGTTCGGGGGAGACTAATCGGGAGCCCGCGACGCGGGCGCCGACGATGAGCATGTAGATGCAGATTGTGCATGTATCAGCATGTAGTCGCATTCCAACTACGACGTAATGAAAGAGAAGCTTGCGAGCAACGCCTGCGGCGACGAACGTGTCGATCTAAACTGCAATCCTCGTGCAAACGTGCCCAAAATTCCTCCGTCGCGCAGGGTCGCCCGGGGAGCAGTGGTCGATGGGGGAAAGATGCCCCAAAAATTATCCAGCACGGATGGGGAACTAATCGGTGGCCCGCGACGCGGGCGCCGACGACGAGGGAGAATGAGACGAGGAGGACGAGGAGGAGGAGGAGGAGGGGGAGAAGGCGAAGGAGGAGGAGGGGGCCCAGCTGTACCATCCAGACAAAAGAGGGGGGGAACTTCAGAAGACTCCCCCCCCGCCTTTGGAAGGGGAAACCTGGGCTTGCCCCACCCGCCCCCGCCTTTGGAAAGTGGGGTTCGGGCTCGCCCTGGGCCCCGACAAAAGGGAGAGAGGGGGTGGGGCCGCTTCCAGCCCCCCCTCCCCCGCTCACTTTTATCAAGAGTGCCGACATAGGGAAGGGGGGGTAGCTTTGGCCCTCACCCTTTCTTCCGAGGGAGGCGGGGGGGGAACTTGGCGATGGGGCCTCCTTCGTGTTTCCGCCGCTGCGTGGGCGCTCTGTCCTACGTGGTGCGCTCCACGTGGTGCAATAGATGTCGTGCACAGCAATGCGCAGCAATGCGAAGCCGTGCGCATCAATGCGATGCAATGTGACGCGATACAAGGCATTGCAACGCAATGCGTTTAATGCGAAGCAATGGAAAGCAAGGCAAAACACATCGATGCAACATAATGCGAACAAATGCAATGTAATACCACGTGGTGCAGAGCAATGCAAAGCACGACAGAGCAACGCAACGCAAGTCAATGTAAAGACGCGCTGCGCAATGCGATGGCCAAGCAGTGCAATGGCAATGCAATGGCGCAAAGCAATGTAACGCAACGCAATGCAAGCCAATGCAGACCAATGCCAAGCAACGCCGTGCAATGCCAAGCAATGCCAAGCGGGCGGCGGAGAGAAGCTCGTAACTGCAAGTGTGGCACCATGCTAAAGCACAAAGACTGATGCACGAGGCCAACGCACCAGGCCAAACCACCAGGCCAGAGGTGCCAGGTCAAAGGCGCCGCGCTCAAGCACCAGGCTCAGACACCAAGCTACGAAACCAACCTAAAGCACCGAACTACTGCGCTAGACTCTGGCAGCAAACTAACGGCACTAGGCTAAGGTACCAGGCTACGGCACCAAGCTAACAACACCATGCTAAAAGCGTGGTGTTTCAGCCTGGCGCCGCTCCTCTGGCCCGTAGTCTCCTCAGCCTGGTGCTGTTAGCCTGGTGCTGTTAGCCTGGTGCCTCAGCCTGGTGCTTTAGTCTGGTGCATTAGCCTGGTGCTCTCAGCCTGGCGCCTTAGTCTGGTGCCATGGCCTAGTGCTGTTAGCCTAGTGCTGTCAGGCTGGTGCCTCGCCCTGGTGCCTTAGCCTGGTGCCTTAGCCTGGTACCTTAGACTGGTGCCCTAGCCTGGTGCATTAGTCTGGTGCCGTAGTCTGGTGCCTTAGACTGGTCCCATAACGTACCTTTGGTCTGGCGCCGTTACTCTGGTGCATTCAGCCTGGTGCCTTTAACCTGGTGCCTTCAAGTCTGGTACCCTTAGCCTAGTGTCGCTACTCTGGTGCCATCTGTTCGGTGCCATTAATCTGGTGCATTTTGCCTGGTGCCTTTAGCCTGGTGCCCTTTGCCCTGGCGCCTTTTAGCCTGGCGCGTTACCCTGGTGCCTTTGCCTGGTGTCCTGGTGCGGTTAGCCTGGCGCGTTAGCCTGGTGCCTTAGCCTGGTGCTGTTAGCTTGGTGCCTTAGTCTGGTGCATTCGCCTCAGCCTGG